TTTTACAAATCAATCAATATCAAGTAATTTTTAGAATAAAGCTGGCAACGCCACACGAAATGAATTTATTTGCAATTTCATTTATTTATTATTTCATCAAAAATGGAAAGAATGGCAACTTTGTATTTGCCAAGAAGATAACATTTGTCGGCATCTTTAATTTGATGTTTATCGTAAATACTAACGTTTTCACCGTGAAAAGTTAACTCATATTAGGCAGTTAACTTGAATTTTTTTTGTATTCAAAATACTGTGAAATCTGAACTTATTTTTTCATGACATTTTTAGTGACAATAAGTGCTAATTATTCCAATACTGCCCGCCATTTTCTATACAAAATGTAAAATTTTTTTTACTTTATAAATAATTTGAAAAAAGTTGGCAAACCTTACACATACAAAAAAATTGTTTCACTCGAACTTAGGATTTTTTCAATTTTATTTCTTTCATATTTCTTAAAAATTTTGCATGCGCTCAAACTTTTACGCAATGTTGTTTGCCTTAAAAAAGCATTCGCAATGCCATTCCGTCCTTCCAACTTTGCAAGCATCAACAGCCTTGCTTTGCTTCACTTCGTCGTCTCACCTTGCCCCTCCAGTTGCATGCTCATCATCATCATCATCGTGTTTCACTTATGGCTGATGGCTCCACAAATCAAAATGCGCAGCAGCGCAAGGCAAAACCTAAAATAAAAAGACAACGGACGCTCTTTCTCACGCCGCCTGTTTGTTTTCCGTGTACTTGCAGCTGTTGTCTCATTACTACACTCCACTGCTAGCGTGCAACGCGCTGTTTCTGTTGCCGCATTGTTGTTCATGTTTTGCGGTAGTTGGTGCGCGCTACGCTGCGCTGCATTGCACTGATTTATATTTCTGACTTAAACAGTTATTAATGCATTTTGTTGCCACACTTTTGTTTCGCTATTCGGTTTGCCTTTTCACACCGCCGCTGCCGCTCCATTGCGAGCGGCGTGCTTGCTGTGGCCGCTGCCAGTTCCTCTTTAAAACTCGCCATTGCTGTGCGCCCCGACAGTGCGCTGTGAAAATTTGCTTACGGTGTCCGCGGCGCTACAATTGCTGCTGCTCTGCTGTATTGTTGGTTGGTGGTCGTCTGCCCCGCGGCCGTTGGCACTTAAATGCGCTCCGTTGCATAGCACCATGTGACACGCCGTCACTCTGTGGTTCTTCCACATTCAGCGCACCGCCTGCACCCTCTGGCAGCACTGTCAGCGGAGTTGCCACTAGTTTACCATTTTGCTTGTTTTATTTTATTGTTTTGTTTTGTTTTTTTGTTTTATTTGTTTTTTCTTTTGCTGTTGCAACACCATCGAACTGGCTGCCTGCATCTGTGCTTGCTGCTCATTTCGTTCGTCATTTGCGGCTTTGTTGTGACGCTTCGTCGCGCACCACTTTGCCTGCCAGCTACAGACAATTTCCATGCCACTGTCCATCCAGTCGGCTTTTCTTGCGCTCCCCTTGTCCATTGCGCGTCCATCCACTCTTGTCTTGTTGTCCATCGCGTCAACCGCAGTCAAATCGTTGCAATTGTTTCAGTTTTTCCCCCAAAATGGCAAACAATACATAACTCTGTTGCTGGCGTCTTTTGTTGTTGTTGCTACTTTGGGACCTTATATGATTGCATAAGTCCGAAGCCAGTAGTGTGGAACTCGTGCAACAACGTGTGTCCGCAGTTGCGCAGACCGCAAGTCGGCAAGTAAACGTTTGTGGCTCGTAGAAATCTGCTTTGGCCGACTACACTTTGGCAAAATTGGTGGCAGCTTGGGAACTGGGCTAAATACCAAGTATGTTTCTGCCACTTTATGCAACACTTTGCTGCAAACAAGCAACTTTTTGGTATTTGTGACAGTTTAATCAGTTCGGCAACAGGTTGAATCTTTGCCTGTGGAAATATTGGTTGCTTAGTTTTGAAAGTGGGCGAATTTTTTAAGTTTGTATCAAATTCCGGATGCGCTGTAGTGAAATGGAAGAGTTTGCATTATTTGAGACAAATTTGTTACTCGTAGAATTGGAGATTTGGTAGTATGATGCAAGATTCCTGAAGCTAAATGTAGCGTTTCTTACACAGTAAACTATATCGGCATACTGGCTGCAGTCCAATACTGAGGAGGGGTTTAAAAATTCAAGATGTGAATTGGAGTATTTTTGGAGGCTACCGGTAAATGGTGAGGTATTCATTGGTTTGTAACAGTATAAAAATTCCTCAAAGGGTGCAGGGAATGCTGCTGAGGTGACAGTCCTTCATTCCTCCATTCTGCTTACCGGAACCCGACTGCCTCGTAAAGTACTCGTAGTTTGAGTTTGTTCTTAAAAAAACGGAATTGAACCTTTTGTTTTTCCTCCGAATTGGATGGCACGTTTATTTATATGATTGCTATGTAATAATTTAAGCCACAATTAGCTATTTGAAACCCCCTTAAAGCATCCCTCCGTCCAGCAACCATGCTATATACATTTTTCACTTTGATTCATAGGGTCATACGAATATTTTTTCCAAGCACTGTCACATGTCAATGTCTAACCCGGACTTCCTCTTCGGCATGTTACTTTTTCTTGCCAGATGACAGTTAAGCGTTAAAAATATATTAGCTCACCCTTCCCATATACCCAATAGCGCGAATGGATTGTGTATCCTTTAACTACTTCTTCCTATCCCTGCGCCCGCCTTGCTCTTCTTTGCCCCTCTTTAAACAAGTAACATTTTAAACAATGTCATAAAATGTCGCTTAAAAGAGGTGTGCTTTGCAAATGATTGATTGTCTTGTGGGTGTGGAAAAGACAGACAGCGGCAGCGGGCGGCGGGGTGAAAATCAGTATGATGGCCGGAATAAGTTCACTTGCTGGCAACACTTTCTTGTGTTGTTAGCGCATACGAATTTTTAAAACTAAAAAAATTACCTTTGAGCAAGAAAATGCATATACGATACATACAAACATATGTATGTATGTATGCCCCGTTACGCCTCAATTACATTAAGCACTGCGCTATTTTTCTGCGATTCGTGACATTTCATTCATTTTTAATAGACTAACAAACAGTTTTATGACACAAAAGTATACTAAGTGGAAGTGTGCAAGCAGAAAAAGCTGTAAATACTCGTTACTCACTGATGCTTACTTTACTTTACTTACTACTTTTTCACAACTGTAAAACTTTGTCGATTGTTGTCCTTTGCTACGTTTATTTCTGTTTTTGTTTTTCTTTAGCTTTTACGAAATTACATGCAATTTCTGAGTGTGGCGTTAAAGTAAGTGCACAAGAACAATATTTTTATTATTGAAAAAAAAAANCTTCCTTTATTTGGCGCTCTTCTGCCTCTTTCTCATTTTCTGCTATTTTCCTCCTACTCTTGTTCACATTGACCAACTGTTCGCAGCCGCGCTATGGCAGATTTATTAAATTTTACACAATATGTCTGAATCACGCCAGTGCCGGCATCTTTCGCGCTTCATATCTGTTTCACTTATTTCACTTTGTAACATCCTTCTCTCCTCTTTTGTTGTGTTTTTTCCGTTTTTTTGCTCTTTTGTCATTGCCGTAATGTTTTCGGTTGTGTTTAATGCGCTTTTGATGGCCTGCGACGCTACCGAAATGTTGTTTGATGTTTCGCGGAAGGTAGCCAGCCTGAGCGCCTGCTAGTATGCAACGTTAAAAATGCATGCGCGTTCGTCTGAAATGAACGCTGGCAGGCAGGCGCTGTGCCGATATGATGTGGAAGGCTATGATTGCGTATAATTGGGATGCCTTCTCTTGCGTTCTTTTCGTTTTTCTGGCATGAAAATCACATTAAAGATTAAAAGGATGACAAAATGATGGAATTAAGTAAAGAAAAATAAGTCAAAATGACGCTTAAAGGTAGCAAAGGATTCTTTGAAATTATTTAATGTTATTCTGTTGATTTCAATGAAAATAATTTATTAAAGAAATGGTTTAGTCTCAATATAGTCAATACCGCTCCTGAAATATGTAAAATTTTATATGCTCTAAATACGCAAATTTTAATGTTTTAGGGCATACGAATTGACACAAAATTTGGATCCAATCCCGAGTGCGACTTCGATCCCGAAAGTCCCGAAAATGTTGTATACCCTGAGGGTGTTAATTGTAGTAATTTTTTAGCTTCTCTAGATTAATTTGAAAGTCAGTTCCGATCACAAAATTTTGTTCCCAAAATACGTATGCACATTAGGGTGGTCCAAAAAAAATTTTTTTTTTTAATGTTAAGCTAGGATTTTACTAAGTGGAAAAAAGAATACCTGTATTTTTTGTAAAACAAAAAAATATATTTAGAACTGCCTCAAAGCCCATGAAGTATTCCATGTATTGTATATGGGGAAAAAAGATTTTTTCTGGAAATGGTATAGAATTCTTGAAAATCAATATTTTTAGATCGGGGAACTCTTTTCCTCTCCAGGAGACTTCCAATGATAATACCACATTGTTTATTTTACCATATTTTAGTACTCACGATTTTTTATGATCCCCGCATAGCATTTTTTAAGGTTTTTAGGGGACCTATAGAAATTAGTTAATATTAAAAAATGCTTGAATAAACAATTGGGTAATGCTATTGGAAGTCTCCTAAAGGGGAACAGAGTTTTCCGACCGAAAAATATTGATTTTAGAGAATTCTATATCATTTCTACGTGAAATATATGGAAAACTTCATGAGATTTGAAGCAGTTCTAAATAATATATATATTTTTTTTTTAATTTTGAAAAATCCTACGGGTGAAAGCTTAACATTTGAAATTTTTTTCAACGCATTTATTTTTTGACCACCCTAAACATACAAACATAACATTGGGAATGATAGTGGTGTAGAACATAGAGAAGAATTATTTGTAAAAGGATACGCTTCAATTTAAATACAATTATTCAGCACTCAATATCTATTTAAGTTAATTTTATGTCTCAATAAACTTTTGAGGACTTAAAATTACGACTAAGCTTTAATCTTTTCCATTTTTTATTTTTTGCAGGATGTTTTGCACAAAATTTGCCATCCCCATGGTCAGGTGCTGCGCATTGTCATCTTCAAGAAGAATGGCGTACAAGCAATGGTTGAATTTGATAGTCTTGAAGCGGCCACAAGAGCACGTGAGAATCTAAATGGTGCCGATATTTACTCGGGCTGCTGCACTTTGAAAATTGATTATGCCAAGGTAAGTGAATTGAATTGGATTATTTGTTTCTGTGCCGAAAAGCCATATGATTAATCTTTGATTAATCAACTAATAAAGTTTGGATTAATCAGCTTGTTCGATTAATTGATTAGTCCCGACAAAGGTTTAAAGTCTCCTCTTTGTCTTTTGGTAAAAAATAGTCACATTGATTAGATTCTGATTAATCCAATTGTAATTAATCGGGAAATTAATCAATTAATTAATTAATACCTTTCATGCCACAGAGTAAATGCGTACCTCCTTGCTCCGAGGGTCTCTTTAATATCAGCCCCTTCTGCCTGAAAACGCCACAGAAGTGTGGAAGCATACATTTTTTGTTAATGGAGAGCTCTTGGCAGAAGACTACGCCGCCAATCATTCATTAAAGCTTCGACACATACTACGTGAAAAGTGACCTATGTGACCATGTATGGAAGTGAAATTTGCACGAATTATAGACTGTCTAGCCGCTAGGATTGTTTTCCAGTGTCCTTGAGCTTGATTGCAGCCTGCGCTACGACAATTTTGTCAGCATTACAAATGTTTTCCCGCTCTAGCTGCCTTACTAGTGTAGCTCTCTCTGGAGAATTACACCAAACGAGAACTCCATATTAGCCGACCACTTAGTCCACAAGTGTAAGGAACCTTGGGTCAAATCATATATTTATGGTGTCTAAAAAGCTACCCTTAAGTGACCATCCGTGCCACATCCGATTTGCCTCAGTTAGAGTAGCGTGAATTCGCTTAAGAACCAATAAAGATGTTGGGTCTACCTGGTTTAGACTTCGATAGAGTATTCCTTTGTCGGTACTTTCAGCCTTGTCGTCACAATGTCTCCATTGTCGAAAGTAGTTAAGAAAAAAATATTTTTAATTCTACCTGCGTCAATCGTCACCATCTCCACGTACAATTTACCCACACCAGACTTCTCTCCATGAGCGCTCGATCTTGGCCTCATCAAACATCCGTCCGAGAAAAGATTACTGGCCTACCAAAAGAAGTCGTCTCACCCATAATATAAGCATTCGATAACGCTAAGTCAATCTTCACACTCATTGAGACCTCCTCCTCCCTATTTTCCTCCGTACGCCTTCGGAGGCAGAGCGTCATTGGCCTTGGTATCGCCTTGGAAGTACCTAAAAACTACTTTTTCGAAGCTATAGCTTATGTATGTACCCGTGACTTTCGATAAGTTTCCTCGGTCCTCTCGAGCCGGAAAGTCGGAAGAAAGCCGTCAGAAAGTTTGGGTTGCAGTACCGCATAATCTATTCGATCTTAACTGTTGTAGATGCTTCGGCTGGAATTCATAAAATTTTTTGAAAAAGTCATTCGTAAACGTAAGGCGAATTTATACCAGGTGATAGCAAAAAAACTACAATCCCATGTATTTTGTATTACGGGTGATATGTCAGAATCTCATACTTAAATGTAAGGCGAAGAAATCAGCTGACCTAAAAACACCACCTTCTATGAATTCTCTTTTCGTAAACGTGAAAGTTGTTTTAAATTGCACAAAAAACAATTGAACTTTGAAAACAATCTAAACAAAAAAAAAACTAAATATTACAATATAAATTAAAATTAGAAATTAAGTTTGGAAAAATAT